AGGTGCAGTGTTAGCGCCCCCTGGCTGTGAAGCTGTAACAAGTAGATGAACTCCTCTGGCATGGCGTGCACGAACGGTTTGGGTGGTTTGTTGTCATAATAATGGTGTTGAAGTGTCTGCTGCTTTAGATTGATGTCAAATGGCCAGAATCCATATAAATGCACATCATCACACAGCTCTAGTGCCATATTAACTAACATGAAACCTGTGGAGAGGCGTTTTTCTTTCAGGCCAAGCCCCTTCCAGAAACGGTCCAATGTCTTGAGGTAGTATGGACTAAAGAACACCACAGGCTGCTGAGGCCTTTATGGCTGGAGCACCTGGAGTGTTTTAATTGACACCGCAGTGCAGACTGTGTATGCAAAGGCTGGAATCATCAGAGACGCATTTCCATACACACTCACGTGCCGCACCAGCAGACCTGGATTCACAGCCATATTTCTGAAACTGCAGAGATATGCACATAAATGATCAGTTGCAACATCAATACATACAGTATATTAAATGTTATCTTACTTTCCTCACTTAAATAATGTTAATTTGAATCTTTATGTTAATAAGTGTGTTAATATCATCTCACTCTGCTGAGAGCTGACTGGGATTGATGGTCACTAGATCAGTCTTTACCCCAACATCACTGCTATTAACGGGAGCCAAGTTCAACCTGAAAAAATATCAATAATTAAAAAATTGCTGGATCTAATTCTGATAAGTAGGGCTATTAAAATGTCAATAAAAATGAGAGCCCCATGAATTCAAACCATAGCCTTTCTGGAAGTTATATGACAGACCCTCATAACAGAACACTGCCGCAATATACATGTTTATTGTGATTTCTATCTTTGATTTTGAATTTATTCTATTCCACTCTGCACATATCAACTAACTATTATTTCGTAATTAGTCTTCTGCTCTAGATTATTTTCTACTTTACACTGTCCTTGCTATACATGTGATACAGTGGCATGCGAAAGTTTGGGAACCCCTTGCAGAATCTGTGAAAATGTTAATAATTTAGACAGAGGTAGAGAGATCATACAAAATGCATGTTATTTTTATTCATTACTGTCCTGAGTAAGATATTTTACATAAAATATGTTTACATATAGTCCACAAGACAGAAAAAAATTATAAAATAACTCCCTTCAAAGGTTTGGGAACCCTTGGATCTTAATACTGTGTGTGGCTACCTGGATGATTAGATTTTGTGATGGTTGTTCATGAGTCCCTTGTTTGTTCTGAACAGTTGAACTGCCTGCTGTTCTTCAGAAAAATCCTTCAGGTCCCACAAATTATTGGTTTTCCAGCATTCTTGTGTATTTGAATCCTTTCCAGCAGTGACTGTATGATTTTGAGATCCATCTTTTCACACCGAGGACAACTGAGGGACTCAAACACAACTATTAAAACAGCTTCAAACATTCACTGATGCTCCTGAAGGAAACACGATGCATTAAGAGGGGTGAAAACTTTTGAACAGGATGAAGATGTCCAAATTTTTCTTATTTTGTTGAAATATATATATATTTTTTTCCCATTTAGTACTGCCCTTCAGAAGCAACAGAAGATACTTGCATGTTTCCCGGAAGACAAATTAAGTACAATTTACCTTGATCTTCAAATTCAAAAATGCTCTTAATGCATCGTGTTTCCTTCAGGAGCATCAGTGAATGTTTGAAGCTGTTTTAATAGTTGTGTTTGAGTCCCTCAGTTGTCCTCGGTGTGAAAAGATGGATCTCAAAATCATACAGTCACTGCTGGAAAGGATTCAAATACACAAGAATGCTGGAAAACCAATAATTTGTGGGACCTGAAGGATTTTTCTGAAGAACAGCAGGCAGTTCAACTGTTCAGGACAAACAAGGGACTCATGAACAACCATCACAAAATCTAATCATCCAGGTAGCCACACACAGTATTAAGAACCAAGGGTTCCCAAACCTTTGAAGGGGGATATTTTGACAATTTCAGTTTTTTTTTGTCTTGTGGACTATATATAAACATATCTTATGTAAAATATCTTACTAAAAAAAAAGTACTAAATAAAAATAACATGCATTTTGTATGCTCTCTTTTTTTGTTAAAATTATTAACATTTTCACAGATTCTGCAAGGGGTTCACAAATTTTCACATGCCACTGTACATATGTACTGTAGTAATAGCAGTAAATTACACATAATTACAAGCAACTAACCCTAAACCTAACCCGGTAGCACTTTATTTTACAGTCCTGTCACTCATGTAAATACTAAGTACTTATTATAGTAATGTACATGTAATAACTAGGTACTAACCCCGAACCTACCCCTAAACTTAACCCTACCCCATGTAGTTACCTTATATTACCAGTACGTCCTTAGGTAGGTACACTGTAAGTTCACATACTGCAAAATAAAGTGCAACCCCTAACCCTATAGTAAGTACATTTTGTTAATTAATATTACACAGTACTTAACGGTATAATTACACTATAACAAAGACAAAAAGTTACAATAAAGCCAATAAATAACCATAACCAATGAGAGTACAGTGCAGCTTTGTGTTGCATTGTGTTGTCTGATAAGGTTAGCAAGAGCCGCAATGCAAAAATGATACTTGCTGCAAGTGAGGACATCAGAAATAATGGCATATGGGTAGTGCAGGATGTACCTGATGACGAAGTCTGCA